ATTATTTCAGCATTTTTAGTAGAATATTATCAGTGGGGGAAAAATATTCAGCATTTTTGCATTTACTCAACAGCATGTGATTTTTACTGGATGTGTGAAGTTCTCCTCAGGTTTACAAAGGTGTAGCTCATCACATTAAATATGGACATAATATTTGACTACCTGGAGTTGTCATAATACCTTTTTATCATTTAATCATTATATCTACTGTTGTTAAATTTAAAACATTAAAAAATGTTTTGCTTATGCTGTCTTAATCTAAAATAGTTTAATATATTGTATTCTAAAGTAATGACAGTGTTATTTTAGTATTATTTATATACTATTATAGCATTTATTAATATTTAGAATTAGCTTTTATTCTTATATTTTCATGTTTTTATTTTAAGTTCATTTAGGTTTTAGTATTTTTTGTTATTATGCTTTTGTCACGTTTATTAATTTTTGTCACATATATATATATATACACACTGTATATAGCTTTCATTTATTTTTTCAGTTTAGTTTTAATATTTAATTAAAACAGTGTATTGTTTATTTCTGTTTATTAATTTGTCAAGGTAGCATTTCTGATTTTCGTTTTTTTGTTGTAAGTTTTTCATCTGATATTTATATTTTTATATATATCTAATATATATATATATTTTTTCTGGATTTTAATTTTTCTTGTTAACAATAACAAAACATATAAATGATGTGAGCTTGCAGATGCTCTAAGAAATCACTTTTTTTAACTCATAAATATAAAAGAAAATCTTGCATTGGTAATATTTTATAAAAAGCAAGATAAAGGCTGCCCTAATATTCACAGACTGCAAATAGTGCAATAAATATAGGCTAAATGTGTATTGAGAACAACTTATCTTCAAGGTAAGGTTTCATGTCAGATGTTCCAATTTTTATTCATTACTTTATCCTTGTTTACATGTTTTCCTCTTATTACAATTTTTGAGACATTGAAGTCTTTGTCAATCATTTTGTGTGCCAGATGTTTGAGTTATTCATGCACTTGGTTATTATTCTAACTAATCAGACACTTTTTAATTGGCATCCTCTCTTATCTATAGATTTGTGCACTTGTTTTATAGCAATTAACAAGTTCTCCTCAATGAATATCTGTCCAGTATGTCTTCTGAATAATCATGACAAGGCCATGCAATGAACATTGTTAATAAAAAAAAATAAAATGTCCCATTTGATGTTTCTAAGAACTTTGCTTTTAATATTAAAAGTGCTAAATGTTTGTGACCTGGTGTGTGAAGTCTGATAATTGAAGTAGAAATCTATGCTGTAGAAACTGCTGGAGTAAAATTATATTCGATTTAACAGGACAATAAATGGTTCCAGCATATCACAAAATGTTTATTCAGTGAATGAGATATGCATTTCATCCATCAAATAGGTTGAACTAAATGCTACTGGCGTCTGTCATTTTGTGTATGAAATGCATTAGAGTGTAACTGCGCTTTGGGTCACGCAGTTCATTTAGTCCATGAAATTACATAGTCGGGTTACACTTGGCACCCCATAAAAGACACACTGATAGAGTTTTGTGTTTGTGTGGGTGAATCTGTTGGTGTTTATGCATGTTTATTACAGTCATGATCATGAAAAAACACATTGTGATGAACATCATGTTTATTTACCAGCTGTAATACTATGGTGGTTACCAGTGTATTTTAAAATACAAAACTAATTGTACCTTAAAATCCCATGCCAAAATACATGAAAAATTGTCAGTGTATTTTTTTTTAAAGTGAATATCTGGCTATATATATTTTTTACTTTATATTAAACAGGAGTTTTTACAGTGTATCTGTTGATTTCAGGAATAAAAGTCAAAATGTAACAGAAGTTCCACCGCATAAATATTGCAACATTCTTCAATGAAGTTCTTATGCCTTTTTGTATTATTTCTGACAATGTCAGTGTACCCAAGAGAATCTCCACACGAGAGCGAGCAGAGCATGTGGGGTGAGACAGTGAACAGCAGACAGCAAAATAAAGTTTGTTCTGTAGAACAGAACTACTGAAGTTAGGAAGCACAAAAGCAGAGATCTACCTTCTTATATATGAGATAAAAATGAAAGAAGACTCGGGTGGAATTTCTTATATTCTCACAATGTTAACAAATATTGATTTCGATAGTCTTTAGACATTCTACTAACTATAAGTAACTTCGCATCTACATGTCAACTCATTCTCATTAGAGTATCAGCAGACTGTTTTAGGTTAGAGTTAGTAACTAGTTACATGTAACGGAATTCCGTAATTGAATTACAAAATAAGGTTACACTATTTTAAGGTTTCCTTGTTACAGTGTAATTATACATTTACGTACTGTGTAATATTATATGTACTACATGTACTTACCTAAATGGTTAGGATTAGGGTTTGGTTTAGGGTTACTTGAATGTAATTATGCATCATTTATTGTTATTATAATAGTAACATGTAACAAGTAAATAAAGTGTTACCCAAAATAAATGTAACTATAATCTGTTACACTTACTGAGAAGAAATGTGTAATTGCATCGAAATATAAGACACCAATGTTTCAGGAGTTTAGGACACATGATTTTTTTTGATAACTCTTTTATTTCCTGTGTGGGTTTATGTAGGCCCATATGCTTTATTTTTTAAGATTAACCGTTTTCCCCCCCCCCAAAGCATTGTTAGATGCCAGTGTTTCCTAGCTATGCAAAGATTTGATTTCAAAACATTATCATAACTATTAAACTATATCTTCTGATTTTAAATCTATATTTAGCCTAACCCCAGAATGCTCTCAAAGTAAAAAGCGGTGCTAAAGTTTGATTTTGTGGTGGCTGTGCTTTCAAATTAAATTATTATAATCTTAATTCCAGTGAAGAAGGATTTCACTGACAGTAATCAGTGTTGAGAACTACTGTTACTAAGGTTAACCCTGCCTGCTTTAAATGTTTTAAAATGATTAACAGTTGAAAACCTTCATTAGACATTTAGAAAAGTAATCAAATTTAATCAGTTACATTAATAAAGTATTTGAAATAGTTACACTACTTATTACATTTTAAATAGGGTAACTTGTAATCTGTAACCTATTACATTTCCAAAGTAACTTTCCCAACACTGGTTAGTAGAATAAGTTAACGTACTTGCAAAGTTACTAACACCAGATATAAAAGAAACAAGTTACTAGAATGTACCATTTTGTACCAAAGATGTACCTTTTTAGCTTTTGTTACCATGAGCATTGGAGTTTTGCAGCTTTTAGTCAATTTAGTCTTTTAGTCTAGGTTTTGTAATCATCTATACTAAAGATGCTAGTGTTCATATGCACATTTAAGATTTTGCTGTCTTTTTCTTTTGAGAAAAAAATATGAATGACGCATTTAGCATTGAGAGGCATTTTGTCAAATAAAATGCTGTTTAGTATGAGCATGTCTCTCCCTCTAATAGCACCTGCCACTAAAATAGCTAGAGACAGATATCCATTAACATTCCCATTCATCTCAATGGCAGTTGCTTGGCTGGCACATGCACCACCCAGGAGTATGTGAATTGAAATAATCATGTGACTAATTACTCTAGAGCTGCAGGAAAATTGCATCTGATTGAATCAGATTTATGATATGCCCAAATACTTCAATAGGAAATACAGCATGTGAGCTATGAAGAGAAAAACTTTAAAACTCAGTCTGAAAAGTTTTCTCATCAGTGAAGAGTGTTGTCTGATCAATATAAGCAATTTAACAATGTGGCAGTGTGTCATTGAGTTAAACAACTCTATTATCTGCAGAATCAACCAAATCCATTTGCTGAGAGCCTGATTTCTGATGCTTTATATATACATTAATAAGTTTGTTAATATATTATGTTATTCATACATAGCATATATTCACTCTTTTCGTCTGAATTTTCAGCAGCCATTACCCCAGTCACTTTTTTCAAAAACACTTCTCAAAATTATAATCTAATCTGTCAGACAAGGAAGTAATTCTTCCCATACAGAGACAAATTCGGTGATTTTATCTGTTCTTCAGATAAACTGACCTTACATCTAAACCAACCTGACTAATACTCTAACATCATCGTGCTGGCAGAGAAAGAGCTTGTAGAGTGTTTAAAATCAATTCTTGTTGTATAGCTTTGGCCTTTTCCTCAGAAAGCCTGTCCCTGAGAGTCACTATGACAACCATATTCTCACAGCCAGCACTAATACACAGACACACTGCGAGCGTGTAATGAAGTGTGCTTCAGTACAACCGTTTCTATTACTCCGTCACACTTTTAAGCTCATTTCATAGATATACAAAGTGCATGTGTGTGTGTATTATAATATATTGTATATTCTATTAATCAGATAATCGTGAAAAAATAGCAATTTGAACAAAAATATTAAGCAGCTCAACTGTTTTCAACAATGATAATAATAAATGTTTCTTGAGCAGCAAATCAGCATATTAGATTGATTTCTAAAGAAGCATGTAACACTGAAGACTGGAGTAATGATGCTGAAAATTCAGCTTTGCTTCACAGGAATAAATTACATTTTAAAATATATTAAAATGCAAAACGGTTATTTTAAATTAAAATAATATTTCACAATATTACTGTAATCTTAATTATTCTTAACTTTTGACTAATAGTTTATACATTTATATAGGCTGTGTGCTATGCTGACGACGGTAGCAGATTGTGAAAAAGACTTCAAACGTGACACGGGTTCAAGGGACAGTCATAAACGCCTGATATCTGATAAGCAAGTTGGACAAATTCATTGCTGTTCTGAAGAGAAAGCATCCGGTGAGCTCTTTTGTCTGGTCTATGTGGCTTTCTCTGGCCCAGATTACTTTTAAAAGAGAGCGTTTCAGATGCGCTGTAGAGACAATTATATTCCTCTTTAATCAATGATCTCAGCGGCAGTCACAACATCTATTCCCTCCCGTGCTCTGCAAGGATAATCTGACAAACTTCCCTTTGACATTTACACTATTTTTGATCTTCTTCCCTTTCAGATGATTTGTTGCAAATGATGGCATGGACCACCTTGGTCAAGATCTTTGAACACAATGCTGTGATGACGTGCAGCTCGCTTAATGCACATAGACACAAGCTGTCAGATGAATAAGCAGCAGTTCTACAGGTATGAACAGTGAAAAACCCTGCATGATATTTCAATAGAGTAAATTGGGTGAACTCGGAAGTGTTCCCCAGTGAATCAAACTGAGCACGAGAAATGTCAACATTATTTAATGCTCATGAAGGCCATCAGATTGTTTTTTTTATGTGACTCTTGTAGCCTTATAATAGTTTTCAGTTGATTTCTATTTGGACACAAATCAAATGTATGATGACTTGGTGGTTCAATAAGTGAGTCAGATGTTTGTTGAATTATTCAAACTGATAACCGGTGAATCATTAAAAGTCATTTGTTTGTGGTTGCATGCCGAGCAAACACAATATAAAAGAAAGTGTGTGGTCTTTGTTCTATTTCAAGCTTTCTGCTTATTATTACATTTAAAAATGTTGTAAAATAAGGTATGTGTGAAGCAGACTTTAGTCTTGCTACATCAAGACATGCTCCTTTTCGGTCTTAGTAACTACACTGAAAAAATAAAACAAGAACTAATTGGATAGTTCACCCAAAAATGAAAAATCTGTCAATAATTACTCTCACGTCGTTCCAAACCTTCATTCATCTTCGGAACACAAATGAAGATTTATTTGGATGAAATCCGACAGCTTCTGACCCTCCATAGACAGCAAGGGTCCTACCATGGTCAAGGCCCAGAAAGTAATAAAAAAACTAAAACATTTAAAAAATCTTCCCAACCCCAAACTTTTGAACAGTAGTGTAAGTCTGTCAGAATTCACATCTGTCAAGTATAACATAAACTTACTGAAATAAACCAATTTACTCCAGGTTGGAGACTTCTGTAAATATTTGGTTTATAAATTAGATCACTATTCAGCTTAGTTTAATGCTCAAATGTTTAGTAAAGCACAACTAAGCTACAATGTATCATGCACACAGCTGGTGCAACACATCAGCAGATATTTTGTCCCATCCCAGTGATTCTGTCTGTCCTATTCTGTCCTAGGCATGGCATCAAACGGCACATATGCAGGAGAGCCCTGGGACGTGATTATCCTCTCCCTCACACTTTCGTTTCTTGCTGTGCTGACGACGGCCATGAACTGCTTGGTCATTACAGCCATCATTGTCACACGCAAGCTGCACCATCCCGCAAACTATCTCATCTGCTCACTGGCCGTGACCGACCTTTTGGTGGCCGTATTAGTCATGCCCTTCAGCATTGTCTACATTGTGATGAACACGTGGGTCATGGGTGAAGTCATGTGCAACATCTGGTTAATCGTGGACATAACCTGTTGCACGTGCTCCATTCTGCACCTCGCGGCCATCGCTGTGGACCGATACCGCGCCATTACGGACGCCGTGGAGTATTCGAGAAAGAGGACATCTCTATGGGCCGCCATCATGATCAGCGTGGTATGGCTCCTCTCGATAGTGGTCTCTCTGCCACCAATGCTGTTGAGACGCCAGGAAGAAAACACGTGCATCATTAAGCACGACAACATCGGCTCCGCGCTTTACTCCACGTTCGGGGCATTTTATATCCCGCTAATACTCATTCTCATTCTCTACTACAAGATCTACCGAGCAGCCAAGACTCTTTACAACAGGAGAGCCAGTTGCCTCAACAAGCCGGAGATGAACGGACACATGCTTCCCAAGTGCAGCGACCGGGAGCCGACGAGCCCGGACACTCTGAGCCCTCCGGAGAAATCGGTGTCTGAACCTTCCACCGAAGGCGACAGGGTGCGCATCACTGCGAAAAGCCCAGAGTCTCGGTCTCGCAGAGAGCGGTCTGTCAGGAGACGTCGCATCTCCAGCACGCGTGAAAGGAAGGCCGCCACCACTCTGGGACTCATTCTGGGGGCTTTTGTCATCTGCTGGCTGCCCTTCTTCATCCATGAGGTGATTGTTACCATCTGTGAATCCTGCAGTCTCTCTCCTGAGATGACCAACTTTCTGACTTGGCTGGGCTATCTGAACTCTCTCATCAACCCGCTGATTTACACCATCTTTAATGAGGATTTTAAAAGGGCTTTTCAGAAGTTGATCAAGTGCAAGAATTATCTCTAACGCCAATGAAGGGATTGCGTCACGTGAACTGAAACTATTATACTCAAAAAATACAATTAAATTAATTAATTAAAAGAGGGATCATTCTGCACAAATAAATTTAGTCTCTGTTGCTGTTGAAACAATTAGATAATTAATTCCCAACAACAAAAAGTTAGTCTTGTACAAAGTCATTTTGTTAGGCAACAAATCAGACCACATTATTTGTCTGAAGAATTTACTCTGCTTTAAAACAATATGTGACCTGCTGCACAATGAGCAAATTTTGAAAAATGAGTTATTTTGATTTGTACGTTCTAAAAAGGCACCTATTATGCCCCTTTTTACAAGATGTAATATTGGTCTTGGGTGTCCCCAGAATGTGTCTGTGAAGTTTCAGCTCAAAATACCCCACAGATAACTTATTATAACATCTGGAAAATGTCATTTTTGGGGCGTGTCTACAAAAGAGCTGTTTTGGGGTGTATCACTTTAAATGCAAATGAGCTGCATATTCCCACCCCGTCTTCAGAGGAGGGCATAGTGCAGGGGTAACCAAACCTGTTCCTGGAGGGCCGGTGTCCTGCAGAGTTTAACTCCAACTTGCCTCAACACACCTGCCTTGAAGTGTCAAGTATACCTAGCAAGACCTTGATTAGCTAGTTCAGGTGTGTTTGATTTGGGTTGGAGCTAAACTCTGCAGGACACCGGCCCTCCAGGAACAGGTTTGGTTACCCCTGCACTATGCCCTCCTCTGAAGACGGGGTGGGAATATGCAGCTCATTTGCATTTAAAGTGATACACCCCAAAACAGCTCTTTTGTAGACACGCCCCAAAAATGACATTTTCCAGATGTTATAATAAGTTATCTGTGGGGTATTTTGAGCTGAAACTTCACAGACACATTCTGGGGACACCCAAGACCAATATTACATCTTGTAAAAAGGGGCATAATAGGTGCCTTTTTAGAACGTACAAATCAAAATAACTCATTTTTCAAAATTTGCTCATTGTGCAGCAGGTCACATATTGTTTTAAAGCAGAGTAAATTCTTCAGACAAATAATGTGGTCTGATTTGTTGCCTAACAAAATGACTTTGTACAAGACTAACTTTTTGTTGTTGGGAATTAATTATCTAATTGTTTCAACAGCAACAGAGACTAAATTTATTTGTGCAGAATGATCCCTCTTTTAATTAATTAATTTAATTGTATTTTTTGAGTATAATAGTTTCAGTTCACGTGACGCAATCCCTTCATTGGCGTTAGAGATAATTCTTGCACTTGATCAACTTCTGAAAAGCCCTTTTAAAATCCTCATTAAAGATGGTGTAAATCAGCGGGTTGATGAGAGAGTTCAGATAGCCCAGCCAAGTCAGAAAGTTGGTCATCTCAGGAGAGAGACTGCAGGATTCACAGATGGTAACAATCACCTCATGGATGAAGAAGGGCAGCCAGCAGATGACAAAAGCCCCCAGAATGAGTCCCAGAGTGGTGGCGGCCTTCCTTTCACGCGTGCTGGAGATGCGACGTCTCCTGACAGACCGCTCTCTGCGAGACCGAGACTCTGGGCTTTTCGCAGTGATGCGCACCCTGTCGCCTTCGGTGGAAGGTTCAGACACCGATTTCTCCGGAGGGCTCAGAGTGTCCGGGCTCGTCGGCTCCCGGTCGCTGCACTTGGGAAGCATGTGTCCGTTCATCTCCGGCTTGTTGAGGCAACTGGCTCTCCTGTTGTAAAGAGTCTTCGCTGCTCGGTAGATGCTCAAAATACCCCACAGATAACTTATTATAACATCTGGAAAATGTCATTTTTGGGGCGTGTCTACAAAAGAGCTGTTTTGGGGTGTATCACTTTAAATGCAAATGAGCTGCATATTCCCACCCCGTCTTCAGAGGAGGGCATAGTGCAGGGGTAACCAAACCTGTTCCTGGAGGGCCGGTGTCCTGCAGAGTTTAGCTCCAACCCAAATCAAACACACCTGAACTAGCTAATCAAGGTCTTGCTAGGTATACTTGACACTTCAAGGCAGGTGTGTTGAGGCAAGTTGGAGTTAAACTCTGCAGGACACCGGCCCTCCAGGACCGAGTCTGGTGACCCCTGGCGTAGTGTATGCATCTCTGCTTTGGATACCTACAGCAATAAACAGCCGGTAGAAGCAACATGACTGAGAGCAAGAGAACCGGTGTTCAGCCGTACATATGGGAAACCAAACACAATGAAACATTGCGACGTTACAGAGCTCACGCTCATTCGCAAACTAATCTCAGCAGCATGGCGCTGATCAATTAAAATACTTAGATAACGTACGCACACAAATACAGTTAAAATGCTAAGCACTATAACGACATTCACAAAGCAGTCTGGAGTGAAATGATTTGCGCAGACATACACGTATTTAGGTAGATTTTGAGGCACATTACCTTCAAAAAATAAAAGCAATCCGCTGCGTCTTCAGTGGCTCAGACTCTTATGTTCAGTCTTACATCCAAACAGAGCACCGGGATTGCTTATGAGACATTGTTGACATTAAAGTTGCTTGAGCGCAGAGAAAATGGAGGACAGCGTACAACCAAACACAACTCACTGAGGGCAGAAACTATGGTGATGCAGGATTGTCAGTCAGCCATCATGGGCCGGGGCCTAAGCAATGTGATGTCATATTGCTTAGAGAATCAAAATGGCAGGCCTAGAGAGACTGATTTGGTTTAATGGGAATTAAACATTAAGGAGTGGGTGGATTTTTATCATTGTACTGTAGGGTGGTTGTGTTCACACACTGCCAACACATTTATGTCCAAACAATGGATTTTACATAATAGGTGCCCTTTTAAAAGACTATCAAAATGATGTATTGACTTGTTGGAATGACCGAGCTACACCTGTTTGAAGTCGATGGAGTCAGCAAAGTCAATATTGGGAAAAATCGGGTTAAAAAAATTTTTTTTTTGAAGGTTCCAAAGCAAAATCACCTAGCAACATTGCATTCTTTCCCTCCAATTCTTTTCTTAATCATTACTATATTTATTAATAATCACAATTTATCTTTGTTGTTATAAATAATATAGCTATTTTTATTTTATCTTTGTTGTTATAAATAAGAACAGATGCAAAAAACGAACAAATATTAGAAAGAAACAAGTGTATAGTGTATTACTTTTTTAATTTTACATCAAAACAAAAGCATTCAAGTTAGAAAAACAAATAATCAAATGTAAAATGATGAATTATGAATAAACTGATTCTTTAAACTACAAAAGCAGTTCAATCAAGAGCAGCGAGTGTTTTCCTCTTTTTGTTTTTTTTTTTTTGTTTTGTTTTTTATAGTTTAGATAGATTAATATCAACGCGACAGGCGGCCTATATTAAGACTTACTGTAATGCACGGATCTAATATAATGTTATACATCAGATGTTTTTCCCCAGCAGCTCCCCAAATGTTCACTTAAGACATAACAGATTATGTTTGTGTGAATACTGTAAATTCTGTGTATATGTGTTTATAGAAGCGAGACGAGGGCTTGATGAACTCATTTTTGTGAAAACCTCAAAATCGACCAAACTTGACATTTTTCACTTTTTTGCCTGTAGTTCAAAATTAGCCCCTGTGCATCCTGACTCATTTTGCCAGCACGGGTCACATATTAGTTTTCATCTTATCGAACATTGGCTATTGATCTATATCAGTAAATGGTAAAGGCCTGTTCACACCAAGGATGTTAACTATAATGATAACGATAAAGGTTCTACAACACAACTGTAACGATAACAGCACAAAGGACTGATAATGTTGGAATCACTTTCAGGATTTTTTCTCCCCAGCTGATGAAGGATAAAAACATTGACAGCCAATGAGAATCTATGCTGCTTTAAAGTGCTTGAGCCACACAAAACTGCAGCATGCGCTTATAATAAACCGAACGTTATAGTGTTGGTGTGAAAGATAATCTAATTATCATTATAGTTATCGTTCTTGGTGTGAACAGGCCTTTACACTTTATTTTAAGGTGTCATTGGTACAGTGAATGATACAGTGAATGTGCTTGATATAGTAAATGTATAATTTATACATTTAGGAGTTGAGTGATATTAATTAAAAGCATCAGCTTACTAGGGTTATTGTTAGGAATAGGGTTTGGTGTAGGGTGAGTTTCATGTTATTCTAAATAATTTACTGTTATTATTACAATAAGTACATGTAAGGTATAACAAGGACACTGTAAAATAAAGTATTACCCAGTAATCAATATCAATAATATTTTATTGATCGTATTTTTTCCTGGCATACAGTAACAAATAAGCAAATATTAATATTTTAATTCAATAGAGTACTGAATGAATAGATAGATAGATTACAGACTGATTAACATTTTATTGTATGAAAAAGATTCATGCAATCCAATTTAAACGGATTCCATTCAACAATTAAATTTAGTTAACATAAATTGAACATAGTATATTAAAAAAAAAACTTTTTTTTCTAGTGTAATATGAAATACCTGCAACAAACTGCATAACTTCAATAATTCTGTGAGGCAGAAAAGTAACTGTCACTTTTCATACATTTTCACAAATGTCTTATATTTAGATAGAAATCTGTAAATGCACATAGATTAGTTAGAGCTGAACTATATTTTTTGTGGGGTTTAACGTTAAAGATTTAAAAACAACTTTAAGTTTGTATGTAAAAAATCATACTATTTTTCATAAGAGGAAGAAATTCAGGGTAACACTTTACAAAAAAAAGTCTCATTAGTTGACATTAGTAATGCATTAATTAACATTAACAATGAGCACGACGTATTTATTCATCTTGGTTAATGTTAGTTAATAAAAAAACTTTTCATTGTTAGTTCATGTTAGCTCAGGTCCATTAAATAATTTTAATAGATACAACTTTTTTAATGTAATAGTACATTTTGAAATTAACACCAAGTGCTTATTTTGACTGTTTGTTCCATTAATTCCGTTAACTAATGTTAAATTACTGTAAAGTGTTACCAAATTCAGTTTACAGCCCATTTCATAAATATTCAGTCATGTGAAGGGCAAAAATATGAAATGTAATATACTGTATTTAGATGGGAATATTGCACTTGCATACAATTAGAATGATACTTCCAGTCAAACCCTTGGACACACCGGACTAAACTCATGTTTCTCATGGTCTTAATAAAACCTTCCCATTATTTCATAGTTTTGAATAGGAAGAAGTGTCCAGACGTTTCACTGGAACTGTACATTACACAAACAATGGAAATACTTATTAGATAGTTCTTGCTTTGGGGCATCTGAGGTAAATTTGCTAGGCAAATATGTTGTGCATTTGTTGATTTCTTTGTTACTCTGTTTTATCTGATAAGACTTATGTGTGTTTTTCCAAGTTTCAGTGAGACCAAAGATGTGAACAGAGAATTAAATCATATAAAATCTGACAAGGGCCCATGATGTACTAAATATTTGAACTGATTATCATAATGTACATGTTGTTCATGTTAATAAATGTTTTGCATAATATACATTATGTTGATTGTACTGATTATTATATGATATGACACACCAGATCCTAAATTACAAGCACAAGTTTCTCAATCTGAAAACTGACTTAAAATGTCAAACAAATGAAAGCAAGTTGTACAATTTTTTTGTCAAATGTTGTAGCATGGAATGATTTTATACGTATTTTATACTCCTTTTTTTTCTTGGATTCCGGCTAATTAAAACAGATGCCATAAGATATGGTCATGAAATTTTTCTTTTTAAAAGCCGCTTCATCTCATACTGTAATAATTCCATTAAACATAATACAAATAATGCAATGTAGTCCTATACAGATCATATACAGAAATATACATATTCATACTCTACATCGCTGTTTGTAAGTCACACTAAATGACTCCAGTTCACTGCATAGAGCTGCAAATCACAATCATTTTAGAGCATTTTGTTTTGACAGTTAATTTCAATTGGCAGGTTCATTAAACTGATTCAGTGTTTTGTTTGAGTCATCGCTCAAAAGTATTCCCAGAAGTCTCCACATCACATCACATCTGATCTGACACCCTCATTTACATCCTAATTGTGTTTGTGCTTGTTAAACACCAGCTGATTTTGTTGGTGTATTAATATGTATTTAAAAAAACCTGCTTCATTAAAATGGTATTTTGATCTTTTACTAACTACATAAAATATGGAGCAGCACTGAGAATCGTGGCTTTCAAATAGTACTCCAGTTCATCATTAAAATTGCCATCGCCATTGAACAACATACTCCGTTTATCTCAAGCTACTCCAGTGTTGATTTGCTTGTGTTTGGAACCAGTGTCTCCTCATAAACCTCAGTTTTCAGCAGAGCTTCTCTTTCAGTCTTTCTCTGTATTTTGCACCATCCATTTCCTTCGTATTTTAACAAGATGTCCAGTTCCTGCTGATGAAAAGCAGCCCCTCAGCAAGAGGCTGCCACAACCATACTTCACAGTGAACTATGTGCTTTCTGAGGTGTAGGAAGTGTCAGATTTGCACATACGACTTTGAATTTGGGATTAACAAGCTCTATCTCCGTCACATCAGAGCACACTATCTTTCCCAAACTGCAGCTAGGTCACTATTAATGTTTGTTCCGCATGGTTCTGTCGGAGTAATGGCTTTTTTGTGTCGCCCTGCCCCATAGGCCAGTGTTATTCAAAGCTCTTAATGTGGTCAGGCTGTTTTGATGTTGTGTTCACTTCCTGATAA